TGTACATAACAGCATCGCTCCTGCATGACGGAACTAAGGCTGTACATGACAGCATCACTCCTGCATGACGGAACCAAGGCTGTACATGACAGCTATCACTCCTATATGACATAACTAAGGCTCTACACGACAGCTATTGCTCTTGTATGATGTACCTAAGGCTCTACATGACAGCTATCTCTCCTGTATGATGTAACTAAGGCTCTACATGACAGCCATAGCTCTGATATGCCACAACGACAGCTCCTGTCTACCGCAGACATAATTACTGTATATGATAACTGTATCGCCCCTGTACACTCTGGGAACCTACTATTAAGGTTGAAGTCTGGCATTTCTGGATAGCCTCAGAGCTCTGTAGTGATGACAGAACTCCTTTTCTCAGTGGGGGCCCCCTTTGCCTGTTCTGGGAATCCCAGATTCCCTAAGGAGCATCACATAGCCCTCAGGGAAGGTTACAGGCCTGACCCTCTCCTGATAAGACAGCTGTTCAGTGCTCACCTGGGGATCCCTGGAAACACCCACCCCATGCTACTGAGATGTCTTGGTGTTTGGCTTTCCACAGTGACCTGTAACTGTACCTGGAGATACCCCCACCCACAGTAAAATTAAGTACCGCTTTCTCCTCTTATGATAGGACTGTGTTGCCGTATGTAAACCAAGTGTCCTTGGCATCTCTAGCCCCAGCAAATCAAACAGTCACCCTCAAAACCCCTCCCGCTGCCCAAGCTTTATTGTTCCCCATTTCACACGAAATGAAGGAGGACCAGCATCATATATGTCGCCACACAGGCTGAGATTCATCACTTGTTCTGGGAAAGAAAGGGCTTCCCCCCCCCCCCCCCCGAAGGCTTCTGCAAGCTCCTGGGCCCACTCCCCCCACCTCCAGCGGCTGCTACCACTCTGGCAGCCACCCTCCTGGCTGCTGCAAGCTTCTCATGCTCACTTGCATGTCAGCGTGGATCACTGCCGCCATCTTTCTAGCACTGCTCTGCCTGCCACAGTCCTGCCTGCAGCAGCAAGCTGCCGGCTGCTCCTGAAGCAGCCTTTCTGTCCACCCAGACAAAACCAGGCTCTCATCCCTGCCTCTCTCAGTTTCAGAGCTCTGAGCAAGCCTCTGTTACAGGCTGTTCCACAACAGCCATGCCTTGTCCGGGTGAAGCCAGGCCCTCATTGCCGCCTGACTGAGGCTTGGAGCCCTGCGCATCCCGACATCATCTGGCCTGGTGTTGGCAGCCTAGTCTAAAAGAGTTTAACACTTCTTTGCACTCCCCAGTTTGACCAGAGATCTTCTGCCCGGAATCTCAGTTCAGGTTTCTCCATTCCTGCCTGGAAGCTGACAATGATCTGACCTTTCAGCCTAGCAGCTTCCTGGCCTTCCAGTTCAGTGAAACTCGGAGTGACAGCACAGTATAGCTATAGCTGTACCTCAGCTAAAACTCCTATGTACCAGGGCTATAGTTCATATGCACATAGTTACAGCTCCTGTGATCACAGCCACAGCTCCCGTGCACACAGCTCCGTGACCACAGCCCCCAGGCACACAGCTCCCATGCACACAGCCACAGCCCCATTCTTAGATCTCCCATCTTCTTCCCGACATTATCAGTTACAGTTCCGTCATTATCCTCAGGTAACCTGCTGTATTCCACAAACTGCATGGCACTCTCATGAGGTTTCTTTCTCTGTGTGAGATGTAGATAACCTTCCAAGGAGTTAAAGGTGGGAAATATGAAACTCCCAGCCCATGGAGATGAGCAAGGTGCCTGTCTCTTTCTGAATGTCTTCCTAAATGACAGCCTGTCTTCTTCTCACTCCTTCACTGCATGACCTTCAAAGTAATGTCCCTTCTCTGTGGAATATTTTGCTAAGCATGAAGAAGTAATATGCGTCATGTCACAATCTGACAAACTGAAGGACACAGGTCAGCACAGACAAGGAGATGCGCACACACACCATGAGAACATCAGGGTAGCAGTGAGTTTCTGACTGACGCTCTTCAGCCATGGTGGCTGTGAGAGGGTGGGCCCTGGCTGTGGCTGGTACATACAGTAGTGTCAGCAGGCCGCTGTAGGCAGGGACTGAAAACCCACTTAAAAAAGGTAGCACGGGAAAGTGAATTATTAACTTATATATACAAACTAGTTCCTGGTTCATATCCCAGTTAACTTACTCAAAGCACATTTCTGTCTACTTCTTTCCAACTCTTCTTTTCCATTCTGCTTTCATTTCCAGTTAGCAAAATGAAGAAGGCCCTGCTAGACTTACAAGACCCGCTTCCAGCACACACAGGGAGACTGCTGAAGAGAGGGGGTGTTTGTGTGTTAGGAGTCCTCAAACATAGCCTTACACTTTGCTGACAGACCACAGTGCCCGTCTTCTATGAGCTCAGCATTGGAATGCAGGCCTGCGAAAGGCAATGTGTCAACCAAGGCAGAACTTCATAATGTGAAGGGGCAGTTTCTAGACGTTAAAAACACACTAATGAGACTGT